CTCGCGGGGAGAAATGGCGAGGGTTCGGCGCGGGCAGCGGTACGGTGGCGAGGGGGAGGGGGCCGCGGGCGCCGTGGGAGCGGCGGGGGCGCGCCGGAGGCCGCCGATCTGGGCGGGGCCGGCGAGCTTGGGGACGTCGCCGGGGGAGAGGAGGGAAATTGGGGGAGGAGGTGGGGGAGACTGTGGGGGGTGTGGAGGGCTGGAAGAGGAGGTGGAGAGTTTGGGTCGCTGCCTTTCCGGGTGAGTCTAAGGATTTGCGACTAGAGACATGGCTGGGGATGTGGCGGATAGGGGGACGGACGACGGGGATCGGCGCGCGGTGGAGGCTGACGCGTGGGCCCGGGCTGCTCTCTTTCTGTGTCTGAGGGGAATTGTGTATGCTTCTTTGTGTGGATCCAGTTGTTTTAGTTGTAGGGTTTACTAGATTACAAGCAGCAAGTTTATTTTTCTAGACTCTATAACTATTTTTTTTAGAATATGATCGAAAACGTATATTTTTTGTGAGTTATTGATTTTGCAAGAAATTACCAAGAATTTTAGTCTCTTAGGATCAGGTTGACATCTTTAGTATTTTTGAGGGTATTAAATGTGTCTTGATTTTCTAGGTATTTGTTGAAGAAAAAGAATATGAATTTTTCATATTTGTATAGGGGTTAATGTAGTTATCTTTTCAAGCAACTCTTGGTGTTTTTGATACAGTTTTTTTACTTATTGTTCGTGCACATGGCTTTAATTAAAAACATAATGATTTCGTAATAACATGTCCAATTTTTATGGAAATAGGGAAAGTTGCTTGCATTCAAAATAAGGCCTAAAATTTGGATATTATGGTATGCAGTGGTGTATTTTATTCGTAAAACCCACGTGCATGTAAGTGCATAAAAAGGCGGGAACATTTAAAATCTCGGGTATTACTATATTTAGTACCCTTATCTTTTTTACATAACTCATACAAAATAAATATTCTCTTCCATAACTCATACAAAATATAGTAGATGTATTTTCTCTTACATAATCCATGCAAATATAATAGATGTGTTTTGTCACTTAAGTTCACAATGGCCATATAACATACTGGATGAACATATTGGGTTTAACAGTAACAGTGAGGTAGGGTTGGTGTTTAGCGCTGGTACAAACGCGTACAAGCATATATATCTCACACCCTTACTTAGGATTAGCACTACTCGAAGTGTGAATATGAGAAAATATATGGAGCAACTTTATTAAAAGATAAATGCTCCATGACACTTACGAACAATTGGTGAGGTTGAAATTTGGTTATTTTGAAGCTTAATAGATGAGATAACCACAGCACTCGTACTAATCATATGTAAGTATGATCTTGAGTATCACTATCTCAAAACACTCAAACGAAAGATTACAGCTCGAACACGGTACCATTTTACAGTACAGCGCAAAAGAATCCCCCCTCCTTGAAAACTTATTTGGACTCATATTTTTATTTATACTTATACTTATCAGCCAAAATTTAAATTTTTAATTTTTAATTTGGAGCTTATTTTGAGGTTTTCTCATCAAAGTTTATTTTTCGGTTTTTACTTTTAGATCGCTAAAACAAGTATATAAAAGTTTTATTCACAAATTACTTTTTGTTTGTAAATATGCCGCGAATAAGCAAAACGATGGGTCCGGTAGATGACATCACTGTTTCTTTTATTGCGGTATGTCCCAAGATTTGAACTTTTTATTTATATGATCAAGTTACTTGGTAAAGATAACAACCTCTTTTAAGGCATAAAAGCATTGGAAGGTTTTCTAAATAAAAGGCAGAAGGCATTAATAAAAATATCCATGGCTTCAGAGAGAATTAGGCCATGTTAGCCTAAGAGATTTTTATTAAATTATACTACTCCCAGAGATCGGTTAGTGTTGTAGCTTGAGAAAACCACAGTTTATATATCCAATCGTCCTCATGCTCCGAAAAACGGCTGCATCTGATCCTTTTTCCAGAGACAATATAGGAGACGGAGAGATGTGATGTGGCCGTAGCTGCTATTGATACAACCATTACTTACATTATAGCTCAATCAGGAGACAAGTCGCACAAGTTCTGGAGACAAGTTCGGCCATTTGCAGCAGCGTTGACTTGAAACGGATGCCAGATGTGCACGACCTCCGTTTTATATCCATGAGTACTTGATGGAAAGCTATGGAAGTTCTCTTCCAACAGATCCAGGCTCATCTCCAAACTCCATCTCAGTCGGCCACAATTCAAGAAACAATGTGTTGCGTCACCTATAATGACCTTCGGGCTTGTAACTTCGTTTCAGACCTCGACCCAAGTTGAGCTCATGTGGGGTGCGTCCCAATCTAGTGGAGCACGACCCTAGTGACCCCTTGGTTATCCTCCCACCTCCATTAATAAATAGGTACCCCTTCAGAGTTTTTCAGGTTTTGTTTAGATTAAAGTTTAGCCCTTGTATTTACACGTGTCGGCTAGACCGCCTAATTAGGTTGTCTTCAGAACTGCTGGTTCCTAGCTCCTCCGCCTCATTTTCCATGTGCACGCTTTTCAAACTGCTAAATGGTGCGTTTTTTGCAAAAAAAAAATTCTATAGGAAAGTTGCTTTAAAAATCATATTGATCCATTTTTGAAAAAAAATACCTAATACTCCTACTTAATTAATCACGCGCTAATGGACTGCTCTGTTTTTCGTGCACACTGTGCTTGTTGGGAACCCATGGTTCCGAACATAGCCTTACTCGTCTTCGGAACTCCACCTTATCGTGAGCTTTAATTCATATTGCTTTTATTTTGTCCGTACTTGTTTCTTCGATTTATACTTGCAAAAAAAATGTTGATATTGCACCGACAAGATGAACAACCCACAGAGAGATGTATCAATCACTAAGGCGTAACATAGCAGCGTCTTGTATGATTGAACATTTCTTCTAAATTTTAGTTATTATCAACTCAACAAAAGATCGGGCGAACTAAAACCGCGAGCGTATCAAGTGGAGCTCAAACTTTATCAAAGATGCTGCATGAATTAGCTCAGCTATTTCTTCGGGTTCTGTCCTGATTGATCGCTTCAAGATCTAGGGACTCGTTGTAAAGCCATTGCTCGTCAAAGACTCGGGAATCAGGATAGTGTTTATCTAGTCAAGTAGAGCCATAAATCGATTTTGGATGATGACCGAGCCAGCCAGCCAGCTATAGAGGGTGTTTGGGAGAGAGACCCCTCTCAAAAACATAAGCCCGAGAGGGGCCTCTCTCCCAAACACCCCATAGTACATCCACAAAATTGTTGATCCTGCTTCCTGCCACATCAAAGGTGCATAAATTTGAGCATCCACAGTTTCAGGTTAAATCTCCCATCCCATCCATCACCTCGCAGACCTATGCAGTATGGCAACAGTGTCCTCGATTCCGTCCAATTATTGGCACCTCTACTGCAATTTGTGCACTTGTGTCTGTGCTTTGTTCTAGTCCTCCAGACCAAAGATGGTGAATTGGCTTAATTCTTAATCTGAATTCCACTAGGCAAAAGCTGAATAAGGACGCCTCTGGTTGAGCTCCTCTCGAACCACTTCCCACTACAAAACCCCTCTTTTTCCAAAAAGCTGAGAAAGGAAGAAAAAAAAAATGAAAACGTGGCCAGTTAGCAAATAGCCCCTCCAGGTTTCAGGGTTAGCAAATAGCAATACCTACAAAAGGGATCAGTGCAGGCTGATGGAACCATATGGTCATTTTAGATGTGCATTTTGGAGCTTGATCAGAGTGTTCTAAACTTCGTAGTGCTAGTAGTTTCCACTTTCCAGTGTTCTTGGTAGTGCCAAAGATATTGTGCATAAAATGAAGAGACAAACTTACCATCTTTTAGTAAAAATATATTTTTTACAGGATGCATTTCACCTTTCTTCAGCTCCTGTATTGTTTTATTTTGTATTTTAAACCTAACTATTTCAATACACCAATCGTCGGTTGGTAAGAAAATTATATAGAAATCAATATGGTAGAGTTAAAGCCAAAACAAGCGACAATCATCACAAACAATAGACACTAGGCCATTTGTCTATCGACCTAAGTGTGTACAATAAAACATCACAATCGCATAATTTTTCATTCGCCTCTTTGAAACTACAAGTTTCAAAACACAGGCAATTCTATAATATGTTACTTATATGTCACATTACCGTATATTGTTCAAGGATCTAGGCTGAGGAGTAGGAGTAACTTCTAGTTTATTTACGAGTGCAAACAATAGATCCCATGAGTTATTTCCAGCAATCATGGCTACTAAATAAAAACATTAAATTGAAGGGACAAAATGAGAACATAAGGAAGAAAAAAAATATCACAGGTAGATAGTGAAGAAACCATAAGACAATTACGGGCCTGTTCACTTTGATGCCAAAAAAAACCTTAACAAATTTTGGCATAGTTGTCAAAATTTTGGTAACTTGCCAAAATTTTGGGAGGATTTTTTATATAGTTACCAAAATTTGGCAGCAAACTAAATGTAGCCACTTGGCAACTTTATCAAAATTTGATAAGGTTGAAAATGTCATCAAAATGAATAGGCCCTACATATCACTGAAGATCTATAAAGATAAAGCCATCTTACCAGTATAGTCAATTTGCATATGAGCGTTTGATGGAACTCATCACATATTCGAAACCTTTGTGTCCGTCTCACAATGTTTTTCGGAGTGAAATATGCAAATATGAAGTTGAAAAGCATGCATCGATACAACATTTTTGGAGATTAAAAAAAACAAGTGCACGCTTTACTAGCCGCAAAATCATGGGTAGGCTAACCAACGTGGTTCTCCAACCTCGTTAAAAATAGACAGTGGGCGATTCCAGGATAGAACGCCATGGATCAACGACCGCATATACTCCTTTCTATTCAAAGATTTTTCACCTCCTGTTTCGCAAGCATAAAAAAAAACGAGAATCACATGCGGCAAAAACCAAGAACATGAGGACCTGGTGATAAATATGCGTATTTGCGAGCGCCAACGCTTAACCCACCGAAAAAGCACAGGACAGTAGTGGTGCTTTACGCGCAACCTTCCATTATAGCCCCAAAAATACAGACACACACAAAAAAAAAAGCAGAGAATTTGTGTGCAAGCATCCCCTTATCGCCTCCCCCCTTGTGTCTCCTATCCTTCGCCGATCGAATCATTTGAGCTTGTGGGTCTCCTCAACCATATTCGATTCGTGAGGGAGGGGATCGAGCTCTGTTGCGGTGTTGTAGATCATTATCACTCTTGGTTTGTGATTCTCGGAAGTCGGAAGTGTTCTTCGCAAGCTCGATTTTCTTTTTTTTGCGATATTTTTTTGTATCGTTAAATCTCGAATCCCGACGGGGGAGGTGGTTGAGTCCGAGTTCGATGCTCCGGGGCCTCAAGATCCAGTCTCGACGCCGTTCTTGAGCTCTCCGTGTTGATCTCTGCGCCGCGAAGGGAGATGGGCAACGCCGGTAGCAACGGCGGAGGGGGTTCCCCTGGTCACCGCCGACGAGGCTCCGCCGCCCAGGGCCACGGCCACCATCAGGTCCACGGCCACCACCACCAGCCGTCCTCGCCTCCCCCGCCTCCGCCGCCGGAGTCGTCCCCGAGCCACTACGTGTTCGCCGCCGCCACGCCGTACCCTCCGCCGCAGTACACCAACCCCAACCTGCCGCGGTACTACCCTCAGTACGGGAACTACTACCCGCCGCCGCCGTCCCTGCAGGTGCCCCTCCCGGCGCCGTACGACCACCACCACAGGGGCGGCGGCGCGGGGGTGCCCGCCGGAGGGGAGTTCCCGCCGTCGGCGCACCCGCAACACTACCCGGGGTGGCCTGGGGTCTCTGGGCGGCCGCACCCCTGCGGATTGCAGCCGGCCATGCCGACGCCGTACGTCGAGCACCAGAAGGCTATCACAATCCGCAACGACGTCAACCTCAAGAAGGAGACTCTTCGGATTGAGCCTGATGAGGAGTGCCCGGGCCGCTTCCTCGTCGCCTTCACCTTTGACGCCACCCTTGCTGGAAGGTGAATCTTTTGTTCTTTTGTACAATCAAACTTATGTGCTATATTTCATTTATGTGCCGAAAGAATTTTGCTGTTTAGTTGCATACTTAAGATTTCACTGAGAATTGGTTTGGTTTGTATCGAGTGGCTTGATTCACTGAAGTTTGATGCTAATATGGAATTGGCATCTTGTGACTGACGCCTTCGTGTGCTTTAAGTGGCAATTTTCATTTCAATGATCTTTGATTTATGTTTGTTTATCAGCTGATAATTTCCTCTCTAGATTGTATATAGTAGAAGAATATAAAGAAAAGGAATGTAGAGGCACTCCTCCTACAAGCTAATTTGTTTTGTGAACATTGAAGCTACTAATAGGACCTGGTTTGACCTTGTATTTCGATAGTCTTTTGCAGTATCCTTGCTAGTTGCTACCTTTCTGTCATCCTTGGCTCCTTGCAATTTATGCTTCTTTAGTAGCTTTAATTTATTGGTTGCCAAATTTAGTTGAAAGCCAGCTATTGTTTTGTTCTTGTGTACTCATTGTTCTTGGGCCCTTTGCAAATTAACTATGACTGATGACACTGCAATGAGCCAATGGTTCATTGAGAACCTTCTTGATGAATTCCAATGGTCTCCCCTTGGTAGTGGTTTAACCTAAACAGCTGCCTGTCCGGAGGCAGAACAGTGAACACTGGACCTGATGAAAGTACAATGTTCATGAAAATTGCAAGGGCTTTACTAGAGGCTCTTTGTACATTGTAGGTGATAGATATATATTTTCTCTATTGTCCAAACCTCATTCTTCTCCTTCGTGGCCACATCATTGCCTTAGTAACTTGATTGATTGGAAAGTCCCTCATTAATGTGGCGCATCCACAACACCCATTTGAACCATTTTTTTTATTGCTATTCCTATTACCATATTGTTCGCATCAGTTATATACTTCACTACAATATACTTGATCTCTAGTGTTAATTCGTATAATATTTGTTACTGTACGATCGATAGTTTATTTTATACCTTATATCAACATGTTGTTCTTGGAAGTCTATATTTTAGTTTATAATCACTCTTCATTTAACCTTGTTGACTATTTCATCACCATCTTTACAACTCTTACAATTCTAGGTTAGAAGTCTATATGTTATCACAAGACGTTGATTACGGCAAATTAAGTTAGTGTGTGTGGTTTGAGCCCACACTTTGAACGACCTTTGAGGCTTTGATAAGTATGTTTGTCCAACTCTGGCAGGCTTGCTTTCAACTTTTTGTGCACCACAAGACTTTAGTCTAGCAGTCCACTTATCACATTTCAAACTTCTGTTTGCAACTTTTGTGTGATTTATGGCAAACAATCTTTTAGCAACAGAATCTCTCTTATATCAGAGAGAAGCATAACTACTTTGGCAAGTTGCAGTTTGCAACCAAACATTCTTTCTGAGTTGTAGTGTATGAGTAGTTGGAAATGATGAGTACAAATACCTTTTTTCCCTTATCAAGCATTTATGTTCCAGAAGCTGTAATAACGTTCTGTTATATCCTGCTTCTTGCTACAGTTTTCTCACAAATAGTTTGAAATGCGATAGGGTGTTAAATATTTGAATGTGTTAGAATTTTTCTCCATTGAATTGTCCGTGGTAGTGGGAATCACATTACCCAGCACAATTTGGCTCATCCTTCCTCGGAATGTGGTACTGATATTCTTATAGAGAATTCCTACTGTTTTGTACTAAAGCCGTGTTATTGTTAATTAGAGCAAGTTTAATAGTATAGCCTACTACTAGCTCCACTTCATCTATAGCCAATCTAATAGCCAATTCATACAATAGTTACTTAATATACTATTAATATATGGTCCCACCTGTCATACACACATTACGTCTTGGAGTCCGTGCTGCAGCTGGCTACAGATCTGTAGCCCGTTGCTCTTCTCTCTCATCTTTTATCTCATTAAAATATGTTTATAGCTGGCTAATAGTATGCTATTGTACCTGCTCTTATGGCTTGTGTCATCATTACTATTCATGTTGTATGTGTCAAGCATTGTGAATATCTTACTACAAACAAAGTAAATCTTTATTTTTAATACGAACAAACAAAGTGTTTAAACAATTCTTGTTGTTCTACTTCTTTGGACAGCATGACTGTTTACTTCTTTGCAAAAGAAGAGCTCAACTGCAATCTAACGGCGGTGAAAGAAGACCTGATTAAGCCTGTTACTGTAAGCTTCAAAGAGGGTCTTGGTCAGAAGTTCAGACAGCCTTCTGGCACTGGAATCAACTTCTCCGTGTTTGAGGATTCCGAGTTATTGAAGCAGGGGGACATGGATGTATATCCACTTGCAGTTAAAGCTGAAACAACCATGCCTGTTGATCAAAAGTTGGAAGGAGAAGATCAAAAGATGAAAACTCCAAACTCACAGATCACACAGGCTCTGTTTGAAAAGAAAGAAAGCGGTGATTATCAAGTTCGAGTTGCTAGCCAGATCCTTTGGGTCAATGGAACTAGGTATGAGTTGCAGGAAATATATGGAATAGGAAACTCGGTGGAAGGCGATGCTGATGCCAATGATCCTGGGAAAGAATGTGTTATTTGCCTCTCGGAGCCAAGGGATACTACCGTTCTCCCATGTAGGCATATGGTAAGTATCCGATTTGTGTATTGACTAGTTCATGTGCAGCATTAGGGGTCCATGATCAAGTTAAATAAAGCTACAAAGTTATTCTGTTTCTAAAACCATACTTTTTATGCTTATGGCTTACCTGGTTCACATTTCGTATTCTGAAAACTATTTCAAACAAATCGGTGCTGTTTTGCTGACTGTCAGCCATTTCCATGCATTTTTAGCATCTCCAGTAAACCCTGACATTTGTATACTCTGGTACAGTGTATGTGCAGCGAGTGTGCCAAGGTCCTGAGGTACCAGACGACCCGGTGCCCGATCTGCCGACAGCCCGTTGAGCGGCTACTTGAGATCAAAGTCAACAACAAAGCTGAAGAGCAGCAGCAGCCGTCACCCGATTCACCGATCAAAGTCAACAGCAAAGCCGAAGAGCATCAGCAGCAGCCATCCCAATCGCTGCCAATCCCACACAGGGAAGAGGTGTAGCTGCGACAATGTCGGGCGCATATGATCATGATATATGATCCTAGATTGTGGCCTTCCGACCTTCCCCGTATCGCGCTCTGCGCTCTCGCCTTGAGCATGGGGAGGAGATGTAACAGATGTGTACCTTCCAGTGTATGTTAGCATGTAAGCTTCTGGCATAATGTGGCTTCCTGACCTGACCTGTGTGGGTGAAGGTCTTAGATGCCAAGAGGAGTGGAGTGGGTGTACCATATACACATCACATGGATTCATGCGTGTACTATTGCCCTAACCTGAAGAAGTGGAGAACATCTCATACTTAATGGGATTTCCCTCCATCAGGAGTAAAAAGAGTTACAGCAGATGGACTCCAGATTTGTACAAAATTTCCTCATGATTCTCATTATATTTTTGCCTTGATGAGATGAGATGACACCATATATGTTCTGCTCTGATTGCTCTTACCTTTTGCATGGAAATAAACTTGCAACATGGCCAGATAGCTAATTGCAATGGTCAAGCTGCCGTTGCCGTTGGGATCACGCTTCAAACTTTGTTCTTTTTTGCTAGTGGTAAAATCAAAGTAAACGTGTGATCCCAAACCTTTGGTTACCTGGCTGCTGCTGGGAGTTGGAATAGGCGACCACTTTAGAATGGCCGATGGCGTCCTCGGTTGGTAGGTGTTACCAGATTCGATCACTCCATCAGAATGGCGAGGTCAGATTACAAGTCAAAATCTGACAACGTCTGTCCGGTTCAAACACCGGATCAGTGAATCGGCCGGGCGGTTCAAGCTAGTTCGGCTGGTGAACCGGGCGGTTTTTTTATTGAAAAAGAATCCCATTCCGGTCGGACTGACCGGACCGGTGGTCGTAGGTGAAGAGCCGGGCGGCCGGAGTGGGGAGAGGGGTAGGTGGCGAGGCGACACCCCCGTCGCGTATTAAACCGGCGGCTTCCTTCCTCCTCCCCTCCCCACCTCGCGTCCTCGCCTCGCTTCGGCTCTCACCAACCAAACCAACAACCTCGCTCCGATGGCCGCGCCAACGTCGTCGCAGCCGGTGGCGCGCGTCCTCCCCCGCGGCGGCGGCGGCGGGTTCCGCGCCTTCCCGGAGTCCGCCCCGGCTTCCCTCCGCTTCTCCGTCGGCCGCCGCCGCGCCGCTCGCCTAGGTCCGCCTATTGGAATCGTTTCGCCCCCCCTTGTCTGGGTCCGTTCGGTGGAATTCGGGTAGAGTTTGCTTCCTGCGCGGCTACGGGGCAGCTGGGAATTGCTTGGCTGGCCTCTCTCGGCTTTGAGTTTTGTCTGGTCATCTACTCGTGGGTGAAGAGGGTTGCCACTCGTTGTCTGGCTAAGAAAGAATCTTACCATTTTTTAGCATTTTTTTATGCCATGATTGTGTCTATTGTATAGGGTAATTTGAAAGGAGAGAAAAACGGCTGCTTCGTTCTATCCTAGCATCAAGAGTTTGTTTAGTATCATTGAGAATTTAGATCTTGGGGATTAGGATGACAACTAGCTTTAATGTTGCCGTGTTTGGATTTTGAGTGTCATCGTGGATACTGATCACGTATCTTAGTTAGAAATAGAGTATTTAAATCTGCTACTTTGCATTACTTTTGTTCTATTAGAAGGATGGCGAAAGGACTTAATTAAATCCGTTGCTCCTGAAATTTGAAAACAGAGGTGAAGGCGTCTGCAAATGTATTTGGGAACTACTTCCAGGTTGCAACTTATGGAGAGTCTCATGGAGGCGGTGTTGGTTGCGTAATCAGTGGATGCCCACCCAGAATCCCACTTACTGAAGCAGATATGCAAGTAGAACTCGACCGGAGGTTTGTCTCTTGAAAAATCCATTATTTCTGTGCTGACAGCTGGCTTCTGTCAAAAACAGGATTATGCAAATGCAATCCTGCTAACCTCTTGCAGAATATGATTGTTATGTTACATTACACCATAATGTTAACTGACATAAAATTTTGATTATCACAGACGGCCAGGCCAGAGCAGAATAACCACCCCAAGAAAGGAGACTGACACTTGCAAAATTCTTTCAGGGACACATGAAGGTATGGTGTCTTTCAGGACATGGGATAAACTTGGAAAAAATATTTTTGAATTTAGAGTATTAGCTTGTCTCATATTCACGATAGCATTGATGGGTTTTCTGCAGGAATGACCACTGGGACACCAATTCATGTTTTTGTCCCGAACACAGATCAGAGAGGGGGTGTAAGTACCTAAGTTTTTTCGCATTAATGTATTGAAATACTACCTCCGTCCCAAAATATAACAACTTTTGGCTACGAATCTGGACACACAATTGCCCAGATTCATAGCTAAAAATGCTTATATTTTGGGACAGAGGGAGTAACATATTAAAGCTGGAAATAACCATATTCATTCCCACAGGATTACAGTGAAATGGCTAAGGCCTACAGACCTTCACATGCAGATGCAACTTATGACTTCAAATACGGTGTTAGAGCAGTGCAGGTACTTTTTTTCATGTTTTATAATGTGTAATATAGCCATTCATTGAACCATCAACTGTAGTACCTAAACTTCTCTTATTTGAATGTCTAAAACTGTGGTACCTAAACTTCTCTTACTTGAATGCCTAACCAACATCTTCTATCAACCGAATGATAGGGAGGTGGAAGATCATCAGCAAGAGAGACCATTGGAAGGGTGGCTGCAGGAGCTCTTGCAAAGAAAATTCTTAAGCTCAAATCTGGAGTAGAGGTGTGATCCTACTTGGCAACCTTTTACTCTTAACTGATCAAGATTTGTATCAAGCATCGCAATTGACATGTTTACTTATCCATGAACAATTGGACGCTGAAGAAAAATGAATCAGCATTCGAATATACATCCTAAATATGCTGAAGCCATGCAACAAATTCTGTCCAATGTCTCATAGCAGCAAAATATTTTCAATTGCAGATCTTGGCGTTTGTGTCCAAGGTGCATCAAGTTGTACTACCAGAAGATGCCGTTGATTATGACACTGTAACAATGGAACAGGTCTGTGGTTCCCACCATTTTCAAGTTTAACACTTCTGGACAGTCTCTGAAGGCATTTGCTGAATATTATATTTATTTTATTTTCCAGATAGAAAGCAACATTGTTAGATGTCCTGATCCAGAATATGCACAGAAGATGATTGATGCAATCGATAAAGTACGAGTTAGAGGTGATTCGATTGGTGGTGTGGTCACATGCATTGCAAGAAATGTTCCTCGTGTAAGTATTTAAACCCTGCAGTTATGTTTATTTTGATATATGTCCTCCAGCTAAAATAAACTAAATAAGCTCATCGTTTGCACTCTCTGCTTATGACCGCCCTGCTTTGGAATTTGCACAAAATCTGTTTGAACATTGAAGCTTGATCATTCATTAGAAAAATATTTTTTCTCTGTTGAGCTACTGATATGATAGAGCAACGACAATTTGTAGGGGATTGGCTCTCCTGTATTTGACAAACTTGAGGCTGAATTGGCGAAAGCTATGCTTTCTCTTCCTGCAAGCAAGGGGTTTGAGATCGGCAGTGGATTTGCAGGTAATTGAATTAATCTGCACATAATTAGTTGATTTATTTTTTGCAAATAGCTGTGCATGCCAACTACTTTGCTACTGGCCTCAATACTAACTAATAACTTGTGCCCAGGTACTGACTACACTGGAAGTGAGCATAATGATGAGTTCTATATGGATGAGGCTGGAAATGTGAGAACAAGAACTAATCGTTCAGGCGGTGTGCAGGTTTTATCCTAGTCCCCTGTTGTTTTACAGTTATATTATTTATTGTTTTCGCTACATCTAGCTGCATTCTAGATTAAAAAAATACTAGTAAATAGTATAACACCGTTGTCTTAGTATTTATAATGTGTATGTCCATGCAGGGAGGGATATCAAATGGTGAAATTATATACTTCAAAGTAGCTTTCAAGCCAACCGCGACTATTGGGGTGAGATATTCCGGTTCAAGTAACTCATTTTTTCATCAGTATATTAAAAAAAAATCTATCCTTAGAAATAGTGCTATGTCATGTTTTTTAAATGGCAAGCACTATGGTGTTGTAGTCTTGTGGATGCAGCTAAAACCAGTGTTTTCTCATAGTACATTTTGTGTCTTTTACGGTGTATCATATATTCATATGTAACATTTGAGGATTTCTATTTCTTAAAAGGCTATATTGCTACTTATTTGAGATATTGGATTTCGCTTTTCCAGAAGAAACAACATACTGTTTCAAGGGAGCATGAGGATGTTGAACTTTTAGCAAGGGGCCGCCACGACCCATGTGTTGTCCCTCGCGGTAATGGATCTACGGCTCTACTACCTCCGTCCTAGAATAAGTTAATATAGTACGGGATGTGATATATCCAGTATAACGAATTTGGTCAAACACCTATCCAGATTCGTAGTAGGATATGTTACATCCCGTACTAGATTAACTTATTCTGGAACGGAGGGAGTACCTAAATTTTCCTTCCCTTAACCACTCACTCATGATAGTATAATCTGACATTTTCTCAATCAATTAACTCTTGTAGCTGTGCCGATGGTGGAGTCCATGGCCGCATTAGTCCTCATGGACCAGCTGATGGCGCACATTGCTCAATGTGAGATGTTTCCACTGAACCTTGCTCTACAAGAACCAGTTGGCTCTGCCAGCAGCGTACCTGCATTTGCACCAGATCTATCATAATGCCCCCTCCCCCCCCCCCAGCTTGTTTATCATCTATCATATTTCTGGGTTTTCTAAGGGGTTCGCAGTTTTGCCACAAAGCCTGTATCCTAGTTTATATCTCGAGTTATTGTACCCAAGGAATCCGTTATACAGTGAGCATGAAGATAGAAATGCGTTCATGCGTGTTTTGTGATATGGACAATCTGTGCTTACATCAGGTTATTTTGAGCAATAAAAATCTCCATTTATGAAAGAGACTGCCTCCTGTATCACTGAAGACGTATTCATGAAACTTCATTACAAAAGCCAAGTGGAGAGCATCCATCAATCATGAGATGGAGGTTTTACATGTCAAGCCTATCTATCCCAGGTTGATCAGAGAGTCAAGAAAGATTATGGAGAAAACCTCAAGCGTTGGCATAAAAAATACGGCAATTAGGCCCTTCCTACTGAGAGATGTAATTTTTACGTTTTCAAGAGTATCGCATAAGTAGCAAGGTAGTTTACGTACTCCCTCAGTTCCAAAATAAATGCAGTTTTATCACTGTTCATGTCCAACGTTTGACTGTTCGTCTTATTTGAAAAAATATTATAATTAGTAATTTTATTGTTACTAGATGATAAAATATGAATAGTACTTAACGTGTGACTAATTTTTTAAATATTTTTCTTAAAATTTTCAAATAAGACGGATGGTCAAAACGATAAATTCGGATATCTATGGCTGCACTTATTTTGAGACGGAGGTAATACCCTATAAAGAATCCGTCACTGCCCAAAATTTAAATTTAAAAATTAATTAGGAGTTAGTTTTCTTTTCCAAAAGCCCATGCAATTTGGATACATGGTCCTTTAGAGAAAAAGATAAATTCTACATGTTGTCGCTACCAAAGAGTTTGGTTCTACAAACTGGACAAAGTTACGGTCTACAAATGCCACCTTACAAGCGTATTTATAGTCCCCTTTTTTTTTCACTCCCGTTAGAATTACTATGTCACTTGACATCCGATAACCCCGCCAAAAGACCATTTTGTCCATACAATGGAATTTTGCAAATAATTGAATGGTAAAAAGTTTTGCATATTTTGATATGCCATTCTGAAGATAATTTTGCACGTGCAAATTTGGTAGAAATATAATTTATGAGGCTATGGCCAAATATGTTATTATTTTAAGGACAAAATGATCTTTTTAGAGGGGCTAGCAAATATCAAATGACAATAGAAACGTGAAAGAAAAGGCTTGTACGATGATTTTTTTAAGTTCTATCAGGGCTTTGCCTAGCAGTTATTTATTAAGAGCAGAAATATATGTACAAAGAAAGAACAGAAAAACAAAAACAAAATCCCTAGAAATTACAAACTTTGTAACTAGCTAAGAATGGGAGAGCTAAGAGTATCCTTCATTTTGCAAGCATGCAGAAGAATTTCATTCTTGAAAGCATCAACCACCTATAATGGTATTTTTGTACAATTCAACTTCGTTGATACCAAAAATAAATTTTCTCACGGCATAATTATCTTTCCAAACTACTTCCTTCCATCCTAAAATAAAGCAAATTTTGTAGTTCTTTCGTACCATAATAAGTTCATTATTAGCATCTTCCATTAATATAAGTTCATTTTTAGAATAATTGTTGCATCAAAGTTTGTGAAAGTACAAAATAATTGTACTGTGAGTAGATAAATTGAGAAATAGTTGCATTGAGATTTGATAACGTAGGAATATTTTAGTTTTTTTCAATTTTATATTGGTACGTGTGGGATGGGTGAAAAATTAATTTATTTTGAGACAGAGGCAGTAATACCTATCCATAAATATAGACATAGGTTATGTCTAGATTCCATGTATAAATGTTGGTCTATTTTGAGACAGGTTATTTATAGGTTCCATGTATAAATGTTGATATGTTTTGAGACATTAAGTGCTACATTAGGCATCACATTTTGTTAAGAAATCTTGCTAATAATGGTCAGTTTTGTTTCTTAACCATCAGGTCATTAAACAAAAGGCATTTTTTTGGGTTGTTGAAAGGTCATCAAAAAGCAAATCCACTCCACCCAGCCACACCGGATTCCTTTGCGTTAATGGCTCCAGCGGACCCCCACCACCTTCTCTCCAGCGGATTTATCACCTATCACATCCAGTGGCTTATCACAGTCAATAAGTGCATGAGCTGATTGATATGTTGATAAGCAGATGATAAGTACACGTACTTATCACTCCTAGGGTAAGGTGTTCCATCTATAAATAAGAGCATCCCTGAATAATTTTCTCATCCCCTTGGTCTCCATATGCTAGCTCGCATACGCGGATCTGCGCCGTCAGCCGCTTTGATTTACATGTAAGGGTTTGCAAATGTTTTTTTTATTCCATTTGGTTTTGTATCCATGAAGATGGTTGAAGATTTGATTTAGAGGGGAAAGCATATGTGATTTTTTATCAGACAAAAAAATCTCTAGCCTTGCAAGTATATTAAGATGGACTAAAAGATTTAGATTTTTGTCATGTTTATTTCAAAAATATTAACTTACAGATTTATTGGTTTCTTCTCTAAAGATATGTGGTTATCTCAGGGTTCATGGTATCTTCAATCGTTTACTTTTTTATCTTATACTTTATATCAATTATGTTATTTCTCATCATCGTACTTTAAGATCTATAATCATTCCTGACATACTCTTCACGTTTACAAGGTGATACTACTACGTTTTATAGATCTTGTGATTTCTCTTCTTTCTAGGCGCTATAATAAATTTCGTGTTCGAGACAAATAAGGTTTTCGGACACACGTAGGGTATAAGTATAATAACGAGTACAACGTCACGTGTAACGCATTAATACTACCAGAGTGTCGGATCGCTTCGTCCGCTTTCAATTTTTGGAAACGTTTAATTTCGCATCATTGTACCACTTGTTTTAAAAAGGCACATGTACAATAGCCATCCACCACATTTATTAAGGTTTTCAAGTGATCCGTTCATTCTTCGCTGCGCCTGCGATTTGTCCGTTCTCTATCTGGGCGTGTATTACTGTTTCCTTTCCCGATAAGAAAATTTTCCCCCGCCTATTATAAATAGGAAAATTCAGGGCTCCCCCATTTCTAAATTGTTGACTTACCATACTACCCCTCGCTCAGTCTCATCCTCCTCCAGGCTCGCCCTCGTTCCTCTCTCTCTCTCCTCGCAAAGCGATCGAGGCAAATCCGGAGCCGCCGCCGGGCCCTCGATCTTCGCCGGCGGCCGCCCCCACCTCCGTCGACGAGCGAAGCGGCGCCGCCTCTCCCTTCTACCGGGCCGACGTGGAGCTGAGCGGAGCGGCGGGGAGGGGGGGGGGGGTGGGGAGGGGGGTGAGGGGAGATCCACGCGAGCTGATCTCTTCCGTGGTGGTAAAGCCCTAACTCGCTCGGATCCATTTCGCGCTGATTCGTGTCGCTGAAGCCCTAACCGGCCTTCTTGTTCTCCTTCTTCCGCAGTGTGCGCCGTGCGGGACGGGGTCGGGTCGTTTTCTGTGACCTGTAGAATAGGGTAGGGTTTGAGGCTTTTGAGCAGAGGCGCATCCGCCGCGTGGGTGGGTGGGTGCGGCGGTGGAGGGGAGGATGTCGTCGCTGAGCCGGGAGCTGGTATTCCTCATCCTGCAGTTCCTCGATGAGGAGAAGTTCAAGGAGACTGTTCACAAGTGAGTGTTTCAATCTAGGCTGAAAAAAAGGGTGAAATTATCACATGTCTGTCTAGCGTTTGTTTAACTCAGTTGGGGTTCCGGCGCTGTTGTTCAGGCTTGAGCAGGAGTCTGGGTTCTACTTCAACATGAAGTACTTCGAAGACGAGGTGATCAATGGGAATTGGGATGAGGTTGAGCGCTACCTCGGTGGCTTTACCAAGGTTGATGACAACCGCTACTCGATGAAGATATTCTTTGAGATCCGCAAACAGAAGTATCTTGAGGCCCTTGATAAGTAAGTATGGGAGGGAACATGTCCCTACAGGAATTTTAGGTGCTGGAGTGGAAAGCGTTGCTAACTGGGTTTGTTTGCTGCTCTGCAGGCATGATCGTTCGAAGGCGGTTGAAATCTTGGTCAAGGACCTGAAGGTCTTCGCGTCCTTTAACGAGGAGTTGTTTAAGGAGATCACACAGCTTTTGACGTTGGAAAACTTTAGGTATGAATGTAATGTACCAAAATGGTGGTCTGACACTTTATTTATGTACATTAGAGCATGGCCATTAATTTTGTGGCTGTAACTATTACTTGGTTGCTCAGTCTATGGTTTTTTATTTTGTCTTGATAGGGAAAATGAGCAACTCTCCAAATACGGTGATACAAAATCTGCCAGAGCAATAATGCTTGTTGAACTAAAGAAGCTGATTGAAGCTAATCCCTTGTTCCGTGACAAGCTTCAGTTTCCAAATCTGAAGAGCTCCAGATTGCGGACACTTATAAACCAGAGGTAGCACATGATGGAGAAACACGGCTTCCCCTTACATTCAATCATCTGGAATTTTGTTTCTTGCAATACAGCTGGTTACATAAGTACATCTCATGAGAGGACTTTAACTCATGTCAGCTCCTGACAGTTCCAGTGATAATGTTATAGTTTATAAGCCAACTACTTTGTTCCACAGGACCCACAATTTTTTTCTCAAGTTTATTTAAATCACTGCTTCTTGTTTAGCAAAGATAACCTGCTATATTTAGCTTGAACTAAATGAGCAATACGGCTCATTTATGACACTCATCCTAATGAAGATTTCTTTTTATGACATATGTGGTATAAATACCAAGTTTTAAATCTTCTGTTGCATTATTCATTTTCTGGGATATTGGATAGACATATAGAGCTTGAAGTTGAAAACGGAAAATTATCTAATGATTTACTCACGTCACACACCATTGTGTGGTTTATCTGTACTGTTTTCTTTATATGTTGCGAATTACTTATCACTATTTATTATCTGTAAGATTTGGCTGTCTACTTGGTAGGTTGTCAGAACTCAGAATTAGTGCTTGCTGATTCTAAGTTCTAGGGATAACTTCACAGCACCATGCTGTATACTTTTGATTTATCATATGTTTAAAATTTTTAATGTGGAGGAGGGATAATGCATGGACCTTTGACTTTTTTATAATATGTTGCAGCTTAAACTGGCAGCACCAGCTTTGCAAAAATCCTAGACCTAACCCTGATATCAAGACTCTGTTTGTTGATCATTCTTGTGGACAACCAAATGGTGCTCGTGCTCCATCGCCAGCAAACA